ATTAATTATTAATATATTAATATTATTTGTCCAAACCTAATTACGAAGCATGATTATTCGTCAAATAGGATTTTGAAGCACCAGAAGCAGCCACGTAGGCTCAGCGTATTCTGAAATTATATACAGGGAGGATTATATATAGGGAGGATTGGAGAAAAATATCTTCTCCACATTTGATGCACTAATTAACTAATTTCCCATTTGAATAAAACATAAATCATCACCTATATTTATAAGGAAGATATTATGGTCCTGTTAGGAAACTATTCCGTCGGGGTTTGTAACCGTTAAATCAACTATCTTTGACGATTATATAATAATCTAACGGTTACAAATCCCGACAAAATGCTTTCGTAACGAAACTTTAGCATTTCCCTGTTTATAAACACATTGTATCAAATATCAATCCATAATTTTATGTCAACTGGAAAATTGGTCAATGAAAGAGCGGCTTATTTGGGGATAGAGGCAGCAAAAACTTTCTGGACCTATTCAGAAAAGTTGTAGATGTTTAAACATGTACAGCTAAACAGGCTAAAGAAAAACATATGGGGGGAAAATCAGATGTAAAAGGGTAAAAAAATATGTTACTTTTTGGAATATCTCAAAGCCTTTTGTTTTTTTTTGTGAATTGAATGAATGAAAGTGCATGGGAAGTTGGAGACGATAAAAAAAGGTCATAGAATCACGAGAGACTATGATTATTAAATTTAACACTAGTAAGGCTGCAGCAACGGCCATTGGCCACAGAAATATATAGTAGGGCAAAAAATACAATTTTCGTCCTCTAAATTGAACATCGTTCAGTTTTGGTACATTAACTTTTCTCTCATAAAAAATAGTCCACTATATAACAAATTTCGTCGATTTTAGTACAATAATCCTGAGTGACCGGATTACGTGATGACGTAAACAATGATTGAAACGACTTGGATGAATATGACTTTAACATGGAAGGATTACAATTTTCCTCCACGTCATCACGTAATCCGGCCCCTCGGGATTACTGTACTAAAATTGATGAAATTATAACATAGTGGACTATTTTTAATGAGATAAAAATTGATGCACCAAAACTGAACAATGACCATGACCAAAATTCAATTTTTGCCTATACAGTAAGTCCACTGTTAAAATATAGATTAGTACTTTTTTTTCCCCCAAACGATCAACGTTTTATTTCAACAAAACAAGTAACTGAGCAAGTACAATTACAACCAAGGGGAAAGGAGCTAGTTAAATCCATAGACAATTATTATTTATTGTTAAATTAGTTGAGAAGTATTGTATCCCATCATATGCATGTAGTTTATGAAATAACTCGTGCAACAAAATGTAAACCAAAAAACACAACCAATTTTTTTTTTTTTAATTAATGTACCCTATTAGAATAGTTTACAAACTAAATTATCGAATTTATGCAATAACCTGCTAAATGACCGCCCTTCACCATTAAAACAGTTAACAATTAAATTATATTACACATTAAAAATAGCAAAATCACGTAACTCAATCCAAATCCTGTTTAGCCATCCATTCAACAGATCCGAACAAAACCTGGACATTTCAATAGCATAGCTAAGATGACTCTACTGAAGTCAAAGTATAGGAAGTCCACGAGAATTCTTTTTTATATTCAAGACTGAACGTGAGAAAGTTCGACAATTCGGTTAAAGTTCAGATTTATACAGCTAAAACATGTGGTTTCTATTTACAGGAAGGTGAGTGTATATTTAGTATATAAACATTAAATGGAGTTGAAACTGGCAAATAGTATGGTTGATAGCGAGAAACAACTATAATACTCTAGTAGAACTTGTGTAGAACTTCCCTTTACAAAACCGACTGAAATCACATTATATTGCACTTCTCTTTGGATTTTGACTCATGCTTAGAGGAGGATGAGTGCTTCCCACTACTGCGCGGAACCTGCAGAGGTTGAGTTTAGGGCACGTGCTCAAAGCATTAGAGAGTGACTATAACCTTAAAGACGTTAAAAAATTCCAACTCCCATTGCAACTAACAAAAGAAGAAGAAAAAAACAAAGAAATACCTATGCACAAACAAAGACACAAAAGCAAGAGCAAAACCAGCAAAAGTTGCACATACATACTGTTCCGCCTTAGAAATAATTTTCCCCAGCAGAAGTCCTAAATCATATTAATATTGGATAGATTGTGCTCATGATTGTGTGTCTCTTTTGTTGTGTGCTTCTAAGAGCATCATCACTGTTGAGTTAAAAAAATATGTGACGTGGGTATTTTAAACACATTCCTAACGTTTTTCTCTAACCTTTTTCTCTACAATGGACTCTGTCTTGGCCCATATTTTTTCGTGGCGTGACGTGGCATGACTACTATCTCACTAACTATTTTTAACTATTTGGAGATAAAAAAATCCTTGTAACAGTCTGACTCAGCTTTATTAATTATTTTATTTTGTACAGATGAATAAAAAAAAATTGAAACCGTAAACAAATATTATTACAATTTCTAATTAAGCTACTTTAGATTTATTTGGTTATATTTTCATGATTCGCCTAATTTAAATTTCTATGCAAAAATTAAGGTTGTACATGGTTTCCCAATTTTTATTTTTAAATATTTCAAAAAACTCAAGTATTTATTTTGAAGATTGTAAGTTTACGTATGTTCTCAATTTTTTTTATTTATTCCATATTTTGTCGAGATGAAAATAACAATAAATCGTGAACAAATGTAATTAAAATTTTAATATTTTTAAAATTATTCTACTCCAATATTTATTTGGTTATTTTTTCATTATTCACGGTTCATGTATTTAACATTTCAACCAAGTTTATTATTTAATATATATTATGTATTATTTAAAGATGAAAATAGCACTATATAATTTGATTTTTTTAGATGAAAATAACAATGAAATCGTGAAGAATGTGATTACAATTTTCGTATTTTAAAAATTAAACTACTTTGTATTTTACTTGCTCATTTTTTATGTAATTCAAATTTTCTCTCCAAAATTCGATTTTCTTAATTTATTATTTATTTAGTTTTGAGAAAATGAAAGTCGCTATTTTCCTTTTTAATTAAAAAAATTATTTCCCTAATTTTATTATTTATTTAGTTTTGGGATGATGAAAGCCACTTCTTTTTTTTTTTTAAATTAAAAAAGTGAACGTAATTAAGTAATTAAAATCTCAAACTTGGAGTCTTGATATGCTTATCTAATGAATCTGGGTCATCATTTATACAGTTGCTTTATCATTTTTGTTTTTTAGAAGATAAATAAATAGACCCTTACAAATGATGTGAAGAAAAGACATTGGAAATAGTTGTACACTGTTATAATCTATGATGTCACATTGACATTATACAAATTCAAAATCACAATCCTATTAACAATTTTGCTATGAAGCCAACAAGTGCTCTATAGTGGAGTCAGCCTTCTATATATAACAAGTAAGTCATACCATATTCTCTTATTACTTAAATAAATATTAATATATTTATTAATGTGATATGATAACACTTGTTGTATTCCACTATGGAGCCAACTGTTGGCTTCATAACAAAACTGGTGCTATTAAACCCAATTAATTACTGACACGAACATTTCGACATTAACATTCATATACTGGGGATGCTCTAACACAAAATAATGTAAAACAACCCGGATCTAGTTCTTGTTGGAAGTTGGAACGATTCATTTTATTTGCTAATATAAGATAGCCAAAACTTACTTCAACAAATAGCATAACGTGGGGCTATTTAAGCAAACATTAGAGATGTCTAGAAGATTTTTATTCTATACACTTCATATCATTAGATTTTTCCAGCACAATCCAACAGTAATGAGCATAAAATGGAAATAAAGTAATCCGACCTCCCACTCCACTCACAAATAAGAGGGACTTTCTATGGTCAACACAATTAAACTCTACTAAAAATCCTGCACATCACATCATACCTTGATTTCCAAATTTTAACAACCAAAAAGGATTCAGGTAAAACATAGTAAACCAAGGTGGCAAGGCATAAAAGGTACACTATGTTACTTAAAATAAAAGGCAATGGATGTGAAGTAGAAATATCTCTCAAATTTGAGTACAAGCAACATTAAGCTATAGAACTGCAGCCAGAAAACCAACACATTAAAGAACTTATTGAAATGCTTACCTGAGGACCAGTTACCAGTCTTGAGCCACCACTGGTGGCTGGCTGTTGCATTTGATGCTGTGGCTGTTGTACCTGCTGCTGTTGATCAAATTCTTGTTGCTGGAGAGCTATTGCCAACTGCAAATCAGAACTGCCAAAAAAAAAAAAAAAACATATGGATCAAATTTGAATTAGAAAATCAGCTTTGACTAGTAACTAGAGTACTTAACAGTAGATGTATAAACAAAGAACCAATGGGATAAGAGTCCAACATCCAAAATAAAAGCTCTGACACTCGGGCATCAATTAATCAAAATTACATAGCAAGTCAATTGATATAAAAGATGGATATATTTTCATCCACATATTTTCCAAGGACTCACACAAACTCTGGATTCACTCTACAGACAAAGACAATGTGAATGTTACAGTATGATTAAAAGGACAAGTAGTTCTGACACATTCTATATAAGTATGGTAAGCAAGATATAGAACTGGCTTGATATATAAATTAAGTCTACATAGAAACTCGAGAATAAGGATATAATGTGCAAGAAAAGATAGAGAATTACTTGAAATTTGAATTTTCGTTGGTATTATCAATGCTCGCAAGATAGTCCTGCAAGGAAGGTATATTATTTATAACTCAGGCACTTGATTAATTGTCTTGAGAAAGTTTAGAACAATTCACAGCCACATACTGCAGTACTGGCCAAGACATTTTGTTCATCCCATGTGCTGTTGGAATGGTCCTCCATCTTGAATTCCTTGAAATTGCTGGTCATGTACACAGTATCACCATTCACCTAATTGTGCAAATCAAATTATTAGACAAACACATGGAATCGATGCCTCAATAGTGTTCTCTAGAAACTGCTTCCTGAAACAAAAGCAGAGCAGTTTCTGAACGATATGACAAACTGAACTAAGAAAACAACACAAATGCTCTCAAGATCTGTTATTATTGAGAAAGTCCAAAAGTATATCTTGCTGCAAGAAATCACAATTACTTTTCTCATCATGAAGAAATTTGTCACTTCATTAGGTGATGCTTGGCATGGATTTCTTAATGAAGACAAATATGTGCGTGCGCACTTGTGTGTGTGTCCAAATTTTTAAACCACTGTGTTACAAGCAACTTCCATGCCATAGATAACTTTGTGGCAGGCTTTCAAGGGTTTTACTGCTTAGTACTTAGTCTGATGAAAGTGGAATGTCAGAAAATAACTTTTAGAGGATGTATGTCCTGCCTACTGTCATCTACTTCACCTTAAATGAAGTGTCCATGCTACATAGAGATAACTGTTCGGAAGTAAATGAAAACAGTATGGTGAGAATGGTTATCTGTAACATCTCATGATGTTTCTTAGTTATAGTTGTTCCTAAGAACAAGAAAAATTAATCTATGTTCTAGGCCATCCATAAGAATTTTAATAATGCAAACAGATACTAAGATCATACTATATTGACATTTGACAAGAAAATAAACATAATCATGTCATGGTCACACCTCATTTAACTTTTCCCACACCAAATCAGGCTGATTAATGAAACCTTGGTCTGTTGCTAAAATGTACAACTCGCCTTCATACTGTAAAGGAAGTCATTGTCAGTAAAAAAGCAATACATAGTTGGCACCATAACAGTCAATCAGACTAAAAGAGTACCATTAAAAACAAGAACCAAAATTCACCAAGTACACCAACTTATTTTCTATTCATCCTTATAACTGTTTGTGGATATAGATATATAAGGCAGTTTAACACGCTGTACTAACCTTAAACATGGTGTTGAAGTGATTATTCCTGAAAAACACACAAATCTCACGTTCCTTCACTTTGTCTTGTAAGCAAAATAAGCTGCAGAAGAATAAGAACAATGAGAACCTTCTTCTGTCCAACAAAGTAATACTTCTATAAAGATGATAAATAGAAAGCATACATACCCATACACAGTCAACTGATTCGCACTATTCTTCATGAAGTTCCGGATGATTTCACCTGGTGAGAATCCATGCAAGGGAAATAAATGTCTCAGCAAAAAGATATTATACTAGACTCAAAGAGAGTATCATTTGCTCAATAAAATTAGAAATACAAAAGAACTATAGAAACCAATGTCGCTCATTCGCAGCATTTATCACCTTGTTTTACAGACAAAGCCTTGTTGCTAAGGCCACTGCTGTCTATAGAATCCTGATCTACTTGTTCTGCAAGAACCACCTCGCCTTCATAAACAGGCTCTCGGTTTTCATACGCTACACTTCCTGAGTCCAATATGCACTCTTCACCTTCGTAAATGGGTTCATTGCTGGCAACACTGGAAGACAAGGTTTCACGTTCACATATATGATGCATTTGTCCACTAGGTGCATCTGAATCTGCAACAGCATTCAACGAGCTAGACGTATCTCTGATCACACAAGCATTTTGATGATTTCTTGGTTCATCTGGGTCAGAGGGAATGATGGATTCATTTGGAGTATGTTCATTACTCCTTGGTTTATCATGTGAGTTGCTAGAAGCAGGAGGATCTTGCAAAAATGATACAGGTTGATGTTTCCCATTCTCTATCCCTGCATCAGAACCAACTATAGTTTCACTACATTCTTCCCTGATTGTTTGGGTACATCCGTTCTCCTGATCGATAGCTATTGGTGGAACTTCACCAGATTTTAGATTCAGATGGCAATCATTCAGAGTATCGCTATCACCAGTTATCAATAACTCATTCTTTACAGTTTCATCAGTAACTCGTTCTTCCACTGTTTCCAAATTTGTGACCGGTTCAGACTTCTTAATGTGTGAGTTTTCATGCACATTCAGATCAGCAACTACACCCTCAGTTAAAGAAGATGTTTTCCCTTCTGATAATTTCAAAACTCTTAATAACTCAGCTTCTTCTTCAATATCCCCCTTCCTTGCTGCATGTGGAGATTCGTCAAAGGATTGGACTCTTGAGAGGCTTGGAGAAGGTACACCAAGAGCTGCAGTTGTCGCAGCAACAAAATCAACACTGTCATCTTCTGAATTCTTTTTCTGTTCGGTCTCTATGTTTTTTGTTTCTAGAAAGACGAGCTCCCCCATGAGAGTGTTATAAGATTTAGAACCAATAACATCAGCAGTTTCATGGTCCTGAAATGTAGACATCATGTGAGAATAGTAATACTAAATCCACAGAGCACTTAGCATTCAAATTGAACCAAGAAATATAGCTTATGAAAAGAACATGATCACAAGAAGATAAGTAATGATGTCATTATACAACACACGGAACAACATACAAGACTTCAGAGACACCTGTTGATTCTATGACCCTATACAACAATTCAAGAATCACAGACCAGAATAGTAAACCAAGCACAATCCTGAACCAAACCTTCACCCACTGCTGTTTTCAGCCCTCCAATGGATCTTCACAATGCTGGTTGGCACATTTTGAGATCAGGACTTGAGCAGTAAAACACTATCAATAGGACTTCAGGTGTACTGTATCATTTGCTTATGAACAAACTAGGTAACTCCTCTATTTCCTTTCCTTCGCTGGTTTATCAGTAAGATAATCAACTGTTAAATGTAACATCTCCAAGTCATTTGCATATCCATATGTTCGAGGTCAGGTGGCTAACATTAATGGAGATTCAGTGGTGTGTGCAAGCAATAGAGAGATAAAGGCACACAGATATAACTATGTAGCCTAAAGAGCTTCAGATCACAATACTTTTCAGGCTGTAGAGTGGACCCCACTTTCTTCTCCCCACCCAACACCTTATGCAATTTTCCACCAGCAAAACAAACAAAGAAAATACTAATATTCTTCGAATGAGTGGGGTCACCGTGTTCACACGCTCATGCCTTTGAAAATCTTACAACAATAAAGCACTTCGACTGTATCTCGCTTTAGACTTCGATGATATTAAAGTAGTATGATTATGAATATAGAGCTCACTAAATCAATGTAATGACTGAAGTGTTGAGAATTGAACAGCTAGAAACATTTCTAGTTTCAGGGACAGAAAAGTATCCACATACCTGAGGGTCAACAATCCATCCATGGTAGAGTGGAATGTCCAGTAGGTCAAATATCGCGCACTCCGGAGTGAACTCAAAATCATCAATTCTGAAAAAATAATTAAATAGCATCTAGAAATATTAGAATTGGTAGCAAAAGTTCCCCTTTATTCTAATTATAATGCACTTCAAAAGAATCGCTAAATAGTATCACATAAGCCCATAAAAACAACAGCGATAGTTATACTAACCAGTAACAGCAATATTTGATCATATGCAGATAAAGAGAAAAGGTTTTAAACAAGCAACAAACCATGTCCACTGCCACTATACACATCAGCAGATACTAATAAATCATAATGATTCACAACAAAGACATCCACCAAGAAAACAAAAAAGATTAGTGGATTGACCTTCTAAATTTTACATTCACATCGATCCCGGTTGTAAGTCTAGGAAGTAAATCAATTGCATCCGCAATATTCTGCTGCTGATTTTCAACATAACCAGTGTCTTTGTTCTGTCAAAAAATTAAGATCCAAATAAGCAAGACTAATATGAAAAATACATAAGTACAAAATTTTCAGCTATATTTGACATCACAATGTGAACATGCAGAAAAGTAAGTTCCCTATCGATTATCCATACTAAAATTAAGTAATTAAAATAAGAATAAATTCAAATGATGCAATTACATTGATGTCAGTGTTCGCATCAATCAAACGCTCAGCAACAAGCGAGAGCAGTTTCTCCTGTGAAACCTCAGAAATATCTGGACTTAAATTCAGATTGTTCTTTAGTGAAAGAACATTACCTGTAATGATATGCAAAATATGTTAGCCAACCAATGATCACAAAATCATAGAGATATCGAGCAAACAATTGGAGAATTTATTGCATTCAAGGCGCTTATTGATTCAAAAGTACATTGCATTACCTCATATCTTCAACAAACTAACAAATAACATAAAGAATGTCATATGTCGGGGCCCATACACCATTTGTAAAGAGTTGCACACCAAAGGTAGGATTTTGTAATTTAATTCTTACACATGCAGGAATTTTCCCAGATATAGCATCTCCGGATTTGTAAAAAAATATATCTGATCATCTAAAATTAGCATCAAAGGAGATGCACTATCTCTGTCCAAAATAAGTAAACATGTATATCATTTTAATTCCCACGCATATAATATGCAAAATATACATTACTCTATTAGGATGTAGAATGATTATAACTTATCCCTCCAACTTCTTCGAACTTCACAAATTTGTGTCGTGATTACTTTGCCCTAATGTTACATTCAATTCAAGCAACGACAAAAGGTGAAACCCCATAAGAATGCCCTAGAATGGAGTAAGAAATATTTTACTAACAAACCATTTTTTTTCCTGATTATGCTTCATAAAATAGTACCACTAATCTCAGGAAAAAAAAAATAGACCAACAGAGGAATAATATTAATAACTGAAGCAAGAGAAAAAAGGATTACAGATAGCGAGAAGAGGGCAGGGGCCATTATCATTTTGGAGAACAATAGGTGCCTTTCGCCCCAAAAACTGAATCACTTTTGTCCTGTGCACCATCTCCTTCACCCGTTCCTCGCGTTTGGCCTCCACCTCCGGCATCGGCGGAGAGGCGGCGGAGGTTGAAGCTGACTGAGGTTTCGGAACAGCAGGACAATCCATTGTCTTCTTCTTTTTACCGCTCAATTGCTCGACTGATAGCTTGTTCCACAAGTTCCTAACGACGAAAAGACAGCACAATAGACTACTTACTGCAAAGAGATTGAGCGACAACAGAAGTCGAGGGGAAGGGAATAGCAAAAATGATTTGATGAGCAAAGGAGCTGAGGAAAACCCAACCTAGCTTTTTATGAAAAAATACAGCGTAAGTGGGTGGGGGTGGGACGTGGGAGCCGACGCTGTAAATGACGGCAATAACAACTCCATTTAGATTTTTATCTTATTAATAATTAAGAAAAATCATGATAAAAACTACTTCCTCCTATTTTTTTTTAAATGTCATTCTAGTTTTATCAATTATTTGTTAAATAAATGTCATTTTAGATCTTTTGTACATATTTTTTCATTATTACCCTCATTTAACTAATAAATATATTATGTCTTTTCATATTCACTTTTTCTCAAAACATTCATCTCTATCTTTATTAAATAAAGTTATTAATGACAAAATAATATTCTTAATTAATGTGCAACTTCTCAAAACGTCATATATTAAAAATAGGAGGTAGTATAAGTTAAAGGCACTTTCTTAAAGTCGGTCCAATTTAGGGGTACATTCAATTATGAAAGATATTTTAAGACTTTATAAAACAGATGATTGTGTGTTCTTTATGCAATTTTTACATACTTTTGTGAATTTTGTGAGATAGCTTAGGTATTTTTAGAAAAAAAATTCTAAAACTTTCAATATAAGTTTTTTGAGACCCTATAAAACTTTTTATGTAATTCTTAATATAATAATAGTTTATTTATGAAACTCTCAGAACAATTAATGTGCATAATAACTAGTATCAATAAAATCAAATTAGAGAGAGATGGAAAACACCAAGATCATCAAGTCATATGGTGGTAGGTCATTTGGTTGGAAATTCGAGTTGAGAGGAAGGTTTTAAGCCGAATGATGTTACAAGCTTGTCAAACTTTTAAATTCGGCATATGTACTGGATCGGGAGACGGTAGATTTCTTCTTTGCACTCCATGTAATGAGGTTATGACCTAGAAAAACATAATTCCCACTTGTGGATGTCCTGTCATCAATGTCAGCATCCAAGTTTGCATCTGCAAAACCTCTTAGGTTTAAGGCTACCTTCTTGATATGCAATCCATATTGAAGAGTTCCAACCAAGTATCTGCGAATTATCTTCAAGGCTTTCCAGTGAGTTTGCAAGGGTGCTTGCATGTATTGTCTTATTATGTTAATGCTATAGGAAATTCCAGGCCTACATATTGTGGTGTATTGTAAAGCTCCAACAACACTCCTAAAGAGGGTAGAATTCTCCATTGGTTGCCGATCATATTTAGATAAAACGGGATGTGAAACCATAGGGGAGTTGACACATTTAGCTTATTGCATTTTCAGGCTTGATATGATCTCTGATATATATTGTCCTTGGTTCAGCACAATTCCTTGGTTATTATAAGATACTTCAATGCCCAAGAAACGTGTTAGTTATCCCAAATCCTTGACTGGGAAGAATTTTTTGAACACATTAATATATTGTTGAATTGCAGGTTCTGAAGATCATGTGATTACAATGTCATCAATATAAATAAGGATCGAAATGGTGGATTTAGGCCGAATCTTCAAGAAGAGTAAAGGATCTGATTTAGAGATAGTGAAGCCCATAGATTTCAATGTTGTGTTTAGCTTGGAATTCCAGGCTCTAAAGGCCTGCTTCAGCCAATAGATAGATTTGTTCAATTTGTACGTAAGAGGTGATCATGAGGCTTGAATATTCTCAAATCCAGGTGGTCGGTCGATATAAATGTCAGCATCTAGGTCACAATTGAGTAAGTCATTGTCAACATCAAAGTCAGTGGCCTTGAGTGTGTGATTGCAATTGATAAAATCAGTCTGATTGTTGCTGGCTTTACAACTGGGCTAAAAGTGTCTTAATAATCCAATCCAGTCATTTGTTTATATCCCTTGGCCACCTACCGAGCTTTGTGCCTTACCACTTTGCCATTTGAATCCCTTTTATCCTTGTAAACCCATTTGCATCCAATTGTACTTCTTACTTATGGTAGCTGAGTTAGACACCAAGTTTTATTGTATAAGTGCATTCTACTCTTTATTCATAGCTTGCTTCCATTCTTCATAATTTAAGGCTTCAAAAACACTCTTAGGTCCTATACATTTCAAAATCTTTGCTGCATAGATTTTAGGCTTTCTAATCCCATCCTTTGACCTTGTAACCATAGGGTGCGAGGAATTGATTTTTCTTGAACTCTCTGAACCAGCTGTTTGATTAGCATCAATATGATTTGCAATAGGAAGGTCAATTGTAATTCTTCCCTCTTAGATAGTTGATGAGGGGGAATCTGATGTGTGCTTAAAGAAGGAGGATAATTATTTGCTCCTTCATCTGTTGTATCAGCCCTCTCCCCAATGCCTTATTGATCATCAATGTTCAAGGTAGGAGTACATTGATCTATAACTAAAGATTCTTCAAAAGGTGGAACCAACAAAGATGGTGATTGCAAGGATTGACTGTTCCCAGGCTACTTATAACTTATAAGGCTAATCTTGGGTAGTGCTTTGTAGTATGTTGTGGGATTGTTGGTAACCAAATTATCCGACTCAGGTCTTCTCTCAAGGAAGACGATTCAAAGCTTCATTCGCTAAGTTAGTCACCCATACACAAAAACGGAAAATAAAAACCTAAACATTCCAATCGATGAAGATTAGAGATTGATTTAAGACTAATTGCAATTGAAAGAAAAACAAGAGCCATGAAAGCATGCAAAAGAAAGGCTAGAGCTTTAAGTGAAGAGAGAGAGAGAGAGAGAGAGAGAGAGAGAGAGAGAGAGAGAGAGAGAGAGAGAGAGAATTTGATCGACCAAAGTCTCTATTACTCAAGAAAACGCAAATAGAAAACATGATAGCCAAGTGATCCTAGGTAACTAAATCGAACTTTCTTAACTAAATGACTACACTTTAAACAAAGCCGCGACCTTCAAACAAGATAAACACGAAATTAATTCCTAACACACATCAACAAGCAATAAAAATAGAAAGCTTCGAACTTTCCTCCATTCAACAAGCAAAATACCAAATTCACTTTGAAAAACATCATAAGCAAAGATGGAGCAAACACGAAGTAATGACGCTTAAAGATAAGTACCTACTCTCCTAATGCATGCGTGAAGAAAACGGGAGTGAAAAACTCAAAACTTGCAATAAAAAAATGGTCGGAAAATTCGAGTCATAGAGCGCCCTACCAAAATATAGAGAGAAAAATATAAAAAGAAACTTTTCCCAAGTGGGATAGAAAATAAAATGAAGGGTGCCTCCCAAATTACAAAGCATTCAAGTTTATTTATAATATTAGCAAAAACACACACAGAAAATACACATATTTAATGAATACACTAGCCCAGTCAATCTTTCTGGGTGAAATATTTGTCATGGCGAAATGTGCATGGTGTGGTTCGCCAGTTGGCCCTGCGCGAGTGTTCTCGTCCGCCCGACGAAATGGTGCGCAGTCCGCCCGGCCAATAATGAATACACTAGCCTAATCAGATTATGGGAAAAACTTTTTGCCTGGAGAAATGTGGTGTGGTTCGCCTGTTGGCCTGCGCGAGTGTTCTCGTCCACCGGACGAAATAGGGCGCGGTCTGCCCGACCAATAACTTCGCCCGTTTTCTTGCTGGGCGAGTGCAGGTCGGGCGCGCTCTCGGGGCGGGCGCTCTCGTGTTGGCCCGTGTCTCTAGACTTTCTCTCTCTTGCACGACTCGTGTGGTTCGGATAATGGCTTGGACGACTCGTCAAGGGCTCGGTAAAAGTCTACAATCCAAT